CCCGGGCTGGGGGAGGCGGCCGGGGCGGTGCGGGGGGGCAGTGGGAGGAGGGGGTGTGTGTAGATATATATAAATATATATATAAAATTATGCATACTCTGTGTGTATATACATACATACATACATACATACATATATATATATAGAATTATGCATAATATTAAATGATGCATGGGGTGTGTGTATATATACACATATATACACAAATGCATATATATGTGTGTTTGTGGGTATATATATATACACGTACACACAATGCATAATTTAATATAGGATAGCTATATAATTGCATAATGTAATGTGCAAATATGTGCATAGTGTGTTGTATTGTGTCATATATTGTATATTATATTGAGTCATAACATAGCATAATGTGCTGTATTGCATCCTTATGTTATCTTGCATTATATCCTACTATGTTGTATCATATTCAGGGATCCTGGTTTTCTGTAGTTTAAAAAAATCCCCAATTTTCAGGTTAAAAAAAGTAATCCCAAATCTGCATTTTTTCTTGATTAAAATGAAACACTACTATATATATATTTATATCTCTCTCTAGATATCTATATCTATGTATAGATAGATAAAGAACTATATCTGTAGAGATGTATCTGTCTATATAGATATATTGATATATATCTCTAGAGATATCTCTATATTGATATATACTTATATATTGATATAGCTATATATTGATATCTCTCTATTGATATAGCTATATATATCTATATAGATATATCTGTATCTTACATGTATACATCTATATATATATATATATGCATATATATATACATATCATCTCTATAGATCTATCTGTAGAGATATATCTGTGTATTAGCAGCCTTTTCATTTTAATCGCAGGAAAATGTGGATTCGGGGTGACTTTTTTTAACCTGAAAATTGGGGACTTTTTTTATCAGAGAAAACCAGGATCCCTGATCACATTACACTATAGTGTACCATATATTACATTACGTTATGTTACATTGTATTATATCGTATTGTATGAATTTTGCTCTGTTATATTTCACGATGGTAATGGTCAGCGGGTTGGAGCTCCCTTCACGCGGTGCGGGGAAGGGACGGTCCCAGAGGGGTCCGTGAGAAGGCGACAGGACCATACGACCGGCAGAAGGTGGGGCTGGGGGCAAACAACCCATGGGAACAAAGGAAACACAGAAGCTCATCCAGGTAATGGGATGAGACTCCATCATCCTGGTTGAAACCAAGCCCATCTGGGGCCGATTTCCTGTTCCAGTTTCCCGATCAAATCAGGTTTAAACGTTTGCTACCTAGGAAGAAGCACCCTCAGGTCAGTGATGGGAACAGTGCCTTTAAGAGGGACCAGCCAGCCTTGTTGTGAGCGCCCCGCTGCAGGGCATTTGGATGGGCAGGGAGAAGAGAAAGCAGAGGAGAAGGAAACAAGTGGTGGACTGAGCTGCTTACCACATGCAGGGGCCAAGCTATGCTGTGCTCAGAGCCAAAAGGATTCCCCTCCCAGTGTCTGGGCCAGGACAGTGGGATTTTGTTCCACTTGCTTGGCTTGCTTGAAAGACTGTCATTTGGGAGGACTGGCTGAGGAGCTCTTCAGGGAGCAAAGCCTGCCTGCAGAAGCCAGAAAGCTAGGAAACCTGCTTACAAGCTCTCAGGGAGTTCAGATTTGCAGTGGTCCAGAGCCAGACACCATTTGTCATGAATGGGAGGAGGCTGTGTGCATTTCACGCAGAGGAGAGCCATCAGATAGCTTTACATTTGCAAAACCAAACGGAGATGGTTTTAGACTCACAAAAACACTGGCGGACAATACTCTTGCTGCAGTCTTAGCAGTGCATGGCGTGATCTAATTAAGACAAAGAGCTGGAACTATACAAGGGCAAAATTTAATAAAACTATTGGACCATTTCCTTTATTTATTGAACGTGGAATGATCCCCCAGTGCAAAGGTCATCAGCTGAACAGTGACAGAGTGAATGTAACCTTCAATTCCTTTATTTCACCATTTCAAATTTCAGTTGCAGGTTTCTTCCCCAAGTCTGTGTTTGTGAGGAGGCTGGGGGCCCCGTTTTGCATTAAAGTACTGGAATTTTGTACAGGTGCCACTATGGGAGATACAGCAGACTCATTTGGTGATTTGACTATTTTCTGTTCATTTGTCTTTTGTTTTGAAGACCTGCATTGCTGGTCAGCCCGTTCAGCATCAGTAGAGCGTCAGTTTAGTTTGAGCAAAGGTTTATGAAAGGCCAGTTGCCAAAAAAGGGGGAAAAGTTGAGAATGGGTATTGGTATCTAGGTTCAAAACAGAAGCACGATAAACTTGAATAGCGTACGGAGCACAAATGCCCTCATGTTTTATTGACTTTTTTCGGATGTGTCTTTATGTTTGAAGACTCAGTACGTTTACAAAGTATACGCTTTAGGAACACGGCACTGGGAAGGAACTCCTGGTTCACCCAGTGCAGCTCCTTGCTATTGCAGGCACTATGTCATATCATTTTATGTATAAACTTATCAAATTCAGTCTTAAAACTCAGTGGGTTATTTGCTTCCAGTAGTCCTAGAAGGCCTTTTCAGAGCCTTACTTCTTTGATGATAAGCCCTTTTTTGTAAAATTTGTAAATCTTAACTGATATTTATACTCATTTGTTACTGAAATTATTTCATCTTACAGAAAAATCTGTCTCATTTCCCCCCCCCCCCCATCTCACTTTTTCCAAGTCTTTTTTTCCAAATCAGAGAAAATCACAGCTTCCATCAGGAGTCAGTAAAGTAATAGAGAAACAAATACATAAAACAGGTTTAAAAATCAAACCTTACTGTTCTAGAGAACTATTTCAGCCATATATTTAGCACAGGCAACCCACACTTAGCACTCTTAATTGGTTCTTGGAAAACCAACTATTAAGCTAAACGAACGTCAAGCAAAACCAAAAATATTCAATGACCCAAGATGGCAACCGCGAGCGTTATAGCGCAAAGTGCTGAGCGCTAAGTGAAATCAGGTATCAATTTTAAATGAGTGCTATAATGAAATGGCGCTAAGCGAAACAGTGTTAAGCAGGGATGCCTGTATCCTATAATCTTATAAGACTGCTCTTCATCTCTCACAATTTGAGAAGTACAGATGGCAAGGCATAAGCATGTGGAGGGAAGAGAACCCTTTCTAAGTATTTGGCTGAAATCACAATATTAAAAATCTTAATTACAACATGTTAACAGTATATTGTTATTTAGATTCTAAATATACTCCGATCCAGGAGGGTGCTATATGCACATAAGGATGACTCAAGTTCTCTTGAGTAATTAAAAAAAGCTAAAAAGGGAAACGTGTGTGTACGTGCGTATGTATTGTGTGTACACACACACAAGTTGTGAGGCTGCAAACCTCTAATCAAGTGACTAGCACCACACTTTTTTGTGCTTGTGCAGGCAAATGCTTGAATCCAGCTCCGCAATTCCTGCACTTGCTTAGAGCCCCTTAGCCGCTCTTCTGGAATGAAGGCTTTGATCTAGTGTATTCACTATACTTTTTCTCCATCACACTTACTTTTACCATCTACGCTCAGCTGAATTACTGTCCTCTAGAGGTCACTGCTCTTTAGGGCTTGTCTTATTTTATATTGCTTGTTGGCAGGCATCTTTTTTCTTTACAATCTTTACTGTGGTGGTACTCCTTATTTCCCTCTAGTGAGAAGAATGAGGGATTGCATCTCATTCCAGCCTTACTTTCCTTCTAAATCTAGGCCATTTATAGCAGGGGGTGCATTATGAGAATGAATGCTGAGGTTTACCCTAACCTTTTCCACTACCGCTTTTATTTTAATAGAATCCAGAAAGCGGACTCCCTGGGGTACAGATCGTATATGACTGATACCAGCAATATGTCAGTTCTTTGGGGCTAGTAGCCTGACACCGTTCATCAACAGCACATTCGCACTCCATTGTTTAATTGTAATACGCTTGTTTCACCTGATTCTTTTCCTTCAAAAACAAATAGGGCACGATGTTTTACAATATCCTATGGGTCCCATTAAACCCATAGCAATTATTTACTAACTCGTTTAAGAACAGAAAATGACACGTTGTTGTAGATACAATAAATCTGATTGATTTTATTACACATCTTATTTTAGGATCACTTTTACATTCCTAGACAAAAGAGATGATACAAATAAATATAAGCTGTAAAACCTATGGACAGAGCTATTGACATGTTCTTTGCCTACACGTCACCTAAGAGAAGGTTAAGATCAGTGTGTCTCCAAGGAGCTGTGAAATTTCAAAAAAGATAGGTGTGCCCACGAGCACTCACAGGCACCTCATTCCAGAAACAGGAGAGACGGGGCCAAAGAAGGGAAGGGAAGGGAAGTAAGTGCCTAAACCATAGGGAGTTAAACCACCACTGTACAGTGCAGAGCAAACAGGCACCACTGCTCTTGTTCAGTTCCATCTGAGCACCTGGTTATGGCTTTAGCATTGTGCAGGCATGTTCTTCTAATTTGCACATTTAACACTGCAGAAACAGAGCCAGGCCTCTTAATTAAGCCCTGGCTTTATGGTCAGACACAAGAGGTGGAAAGACAGGGTAGAGAAGACGTCCACAGTCACAGCAATCAGTGCTTCTCTGAAACTTGGCAAAGGATCAGTGGTTCAGTGATGGAGCTTACTACAGCTAGACAGAGAGATCTGTATTGACCCAGAAGTCGGATCTGTATAATGCATCATTACCATTCAAAAGGTTAAAGCAGAAGTATGTGTTTTAGAAGGCGGAAGCAGCATGCATCGGACCTATATTCAGGATTTTAAGAAAGTGCTTTCATTCCTGCGTGTTTTGCTTTGCGTAGTATTTGACTCTGGAACAGAAGAGCTTTACTGTGCCTAGCTGGAGAAACAGAACTGGACCCAGTTATACAGATCAGAGCAAAGGTTGAAAGGATGTAAAAACACTCCTATGAAGAGACTATGATTGCACACACTCTCCTAGGACCTCATCCAGGAGCTGGGCAAATTTCCTGTCATCTTTGGTTGTTTACCTGCAGGAAGCCCAGATGGTTCGGACAATAGCCACATGCTGCAGAGAGGCACAGACCTGGAGGGGTCACGTCAACACAAGATTTACACATTTTGTACAGTTTAAGACAATGCATTCATTTCATCCTAATATCAGTGCCACCGAGGATCTGGTCAAGGGGTAATTCAGTCAGTGTGAGAGGCCAAAAGCTTTGGCAGCCATCTGAGATTGTTTGCGAGTACATTCACCAGCCACGTCTTTACCCACTGTTCCAATTTAAATACTGTGACTGAAGACGCAATTTTAAAATCTGTCCACCTCATTCCCTTTCTCTCGCCTTGATAAACTATTTCTGGAACTTAAAAGCAGGGCTTTCTGACATATCAACCATCTCGCCTATTAAGAGTAAAAGCAGAACAGGTTGAATTTGGGCTCTGATTTCTAATGCGCCAATCCTGACCCAAGCAATATTCTCAGTTGACAAGTTTCAGATAGAAACCCACTAAAATCATACTGGCTGAAGACACACAGATATATCGCATATCTATCTGACTACCTAAAGTTGGGCAACTATTTACTTTACATCAGTGCTCTGAGTGCTTAAACTACACAGTCTCAGAGAAGATTATATGCCAGAGAGAAAGGGGAAGGAGAGAGAACGTGACACTGTATTATACCACAAGAGCCAGTTGTACAGACTCCTTGTACAGACAGAGTGGCTTATAAAACGGAAGTTTATGGCAGGCTAACAGAAACCCGACGTCTGCTCCCTCACTCATAAGCAAACCCCTCCTTTCCCCACCAAAATTAAAATGTATATATATTAATTTTATCCTGACCCAGAAAAAACACTCCATGAATCAAAGCAGCTGAGTTAGTACTTAACCCTGGGTCCACCCGAGCAGCTGACTCACCGAGGCACCGTGCCCGCAAGATGCAGAGGTGAGCTCCGCGGAGAAAGCGTTCTGCCCTTCTGCTCAGGGGGGTCAGACAATGGAGCTTTCCAGCCTGGACAGAGGCAGTCAATGGACACTTAGGTAGACAAGGACACAAGGTAGACTTCATACATGAGAATATTTCTAAAAACAGGCAAGTTCTCATACACGCACCAGTCGGTCTTGGGGGAGGTTGTCTGTGAGGAAGAAGAAACAGGTACAAACATACACAGGATGACAGTCAACAGCAACTGAAAAACGAAGCAGCCCAAATCTCAATATACAGTGAACTAAAACTTACAAACTGAACAGAGACACACCAGACAGGAACACCTTACTCTGTCTTCTGAGCCCGTCCAATACGGCAGCTCCCTTCTCCCTACTGGGCCACACTGGCCTGCAGCATTACAACAGCCTACTTTAGTCATAGGGCAGCTTTGGAAAGAGACCATCTAAAGCAGGACTTCTTTCTTCTTCGTGTTCGGTGTACCATCCCTGGAATTAAGATCAGATTCCCTCTCCTGAGACCTTAGATGACACAGGCCCTCATCCCCAACCCTTCACACTGCATTCGAGGAGGCTTAGAAGTGACAAGTGGAAATGCTCTTCAGTTGGAACAGGATGAGACATAAAAGGCAGCGCCTGCACTGAACTCCCTTGTACACCCAGAGGAAGGCTCCACACATACCAGAAGAGAGCAGATCTGGTTTTGCCTCAAAGTGCTCCAGATCCCATCCCTGTCACAGTGGCGGGCAGAACCAGCCATGTGCGCATCAAGCCAGTTATATATTTCCTACGAATGCTGGTAGAGCTGAGGAAATGGCCGTATGCACCCCAGGATTTAGGGCCTTGGTGTAAATGCTGGCTTCAAATGCCAGGGATGGGACAGAGAAGAGAGAGGAAGGGAGCTACTATGGAGCTGTCACTGGTAAGCTGACACATTCTCTGACAAGGTGGTTCCTGTGAGTAGGGGTTGAGGTGTTTAGTAGGTCATGTCAAACAGTTCTTTCTTACTGATGCGTGTAAACAGGTAGAAGACTTCAGTTTCTATTGCTTTCATTCTAGAGAGCATAAATATGCTTCCAAGACCCTCAGTTCTAAAGGGAGGCAGATCTGTCTGGCTGCCAGGTGAACAAAGACAGATCTTCAATCCTGCTCTTCTCAAGGTTGTTCAATCCAACCTCTAACCCCGGACAATGTTAGTCTTTCACCAGAAAGAGGAAAACAATGCACCTAGTCAAGCTCAGCTACGCCCTCCAGTTTTTAACCCCCTCACATTTTCACTCAGAGGTTCCGAAGGGCTGCTTCTCTTGAGATGACTTGCAACTCTGTCCTGTTGTTGCCCAACAGCAAGAGAGCCCAGTGCAGCAAAAGGGCTGGAACAGAAGGAGAGACGGCGACGCTGTGAGGTGATCCCCATGCTTCCCATTGCTTCTAATACACTCATGCATTTCTGATTTCCTAACTAAACTCTGTATCCCATAGGGGCTGATCGCTAGATTGTGAGCAAGTATCTTCCTGCAGGGTTCAGCACACCTGGGACTGGCACGTTTGACACAAGTCAGTTCAATTGCTAGGAGGCTGTCCCCAGGGAAAAGGGCTTGGAGTTTGGCTGAGAGTCTTCTCTGCAGGTTCTTACTTGTCTCTGCTCTCAGAAGGCAAAAGCTGTTCACGCCCTGGAGAGGAATCGCTGGTTTTACTTAGGAACCAGCCCTCGGGACTGTGGATAGAGCTGAGATCCAGAGGTGCTTGAGGAAGAGGAGCCCCCCGATTTCCTTGCAGTTTTAGGCCTGAGAAAATAAACAAAACAAAACAAAAATGTGCGTTATATATCAACACACATCTCCAACAGCTGAAGAAGCTTTACTGGACTTAGACCCCTAGCCAACCTCAAAGTGCTTCTGTAGCCTCACGCTCCCTTCTTTCTACATCAGTTAGGCTTTCATCATGCCGACCAATAACTCAGGCAGGCAGGAAGCCTATTGATGTGTATACTGGTGGCTAGTCCAACGAGCAGAGGCAGACGAAAGCATCGTGCAACAGTTTGACTCACTTGGATTTTGATTTTTTATTTGACGTGCTCTCAAAGGTTGAAGCATCCACCTGTATCTCATCTTCATCCTGCAAAGCTGCTTCTAGAGCAGCCTGAACTTTAGGAGCAATGGTTGGGCCCTCATAGTCTCTCGTGGTTCGACTGGGCATGTCAAGCTCCAATAGTACAATGTTCTCTGCCTGAAAAAGCAGAAGGGAAACAGAATCGTCAGTACCTACACATTCATACACAAACCATTTCCCTCCTCACTCACTGTACTGAGATGTTTCACGCTCTGATAAGGGCTGATATCTGGACCCTTGAATTTATTTGAAACATGCATTTCCCTATGCCTGTGGTCATATTACCCTGGCCATAAAGACTGCTCTACCAACAATCCCATTCCTTCTGGCTTGCAACTGTCCTCTCACCCTATTTAAGCTTTTACTCCAACCCTTAAGATCGACTCCAGGTAATGTATCTGCAACAGGGTGGTCACAAACATCTTTTCCAGCAGTACAAGCTCCCTGAACTTATTTTAAGTTACATTTTTACATGTAGGGGAGTAGGCTGTCCCTCTAGAGCAGCGGTTCTGAACCAGAGGTACACGTACCCCCAGCGGGTACGTGAAGCCTCATCATGGGGTACATGAGATATATTTCATACATTGTCTAACACAGGTCAAAGGGCCTAAAAAAAGTCTTGACAATCTGAAAAGTCTTTGTATGAGTATCTTGCCATTTTTATAATACAAGATTACATGTAGTTTGACATAAAAATTAATTTCCCATTGAAAGGGGGTATGTGAAGTCTCAGTCTGAGACCAAGGGGTACGTCAACTGAAAAAGGTTCAGAACCGCTGCTCTAGACACTCCTGCAGCTGTTGCAGTTTGTCCTACAGGACAACAAAGAGTCCTCAGAGACACACACTCTGCTGAATACAAGAGCTGAACAGATGCGGGCTACAGCCATGTCTATGCTTACCCTGTACCGGGCCTCTGGCCGAACCATCATGGACATCCTGGCATGTTGGCTCAAAGGCCTCTTGTAGCCCACTGCTGACACCGGCCTCTTCATCATCTGCTGGTTACTGAAAAGGACGGGACTGTTAAACCCATTACACGTGCAAGTGTCAAGAATCCTCCTTGTTATGCTAACGTGCCAAAATAGCTGCCACCTACTGTGGTGACTGTTTTTATAAAGGGAGGAGAGTGCTACAGGCACCCAGGAGTGCACGCCGATTGCACAGTTAAACCTAACAAGTGGTATGAAGCTGTCCACATCACTGGGTAGGTAGAGGCATGGGAACAGGTGAGATGGCTTCCATAATCTGTTCTTTTGCACCAATGGCAGGATACCTACTGCACACACAATGGACTAATGTATATCTCCCTGTATTCATCTTTGTACATTTGCTCTGTAAAACTTCCAGTCTGCACGCTTGCCTATAGTTTCCTCTGAGATGCCTTTGATTTGAGATAGGAAATAACCAGATTGACTAGACTCATCTTTTTAACATAGTTTGTGAAGCAATTTGGGACCCCCTGCAAGAAAGATGCTATGTATAGCACAGCCCAGCCCAGCATGAAACTAGGTTAAATTGTTTAGAATCTTCCCATCTTAACTTCCTATTTTATTTAGCCCTGGTTATAGTTTGTCTTAAATTTTATTCCAACTTTATAGTCCACTAAGGAGCTACGGACTCAGGGTGAGGCTAAAACCCTAATTCATCCCTGGCCTACTGAAATAACTTGCCCAGGTCAGCCTGTAGTTTCATATGATCTCCACTCCAATCCTAAAATAAGGTTAGGAAACAAACTCACTCCAGCCGGGTTATAGGATGCAGTTTCCACTGGTCTTCCTCTTCATCAAAGAAAGATCTGTTCATGATCTTGTTCTTCTCCTCCAGAGGAATAAAGTTTTCAATAATCAGGTGCCTGGAGGAAAGAGCAAAGGTGGGAGTTATATAAATAAGAGAACTAGCACCTGAATCTCCCCACCTTCTCTTCCTTGCTGACCCAACAAATCCCTAAAAAGGGAGGGATTTCTAGTTCTCGCTCACATTTCAATCCTGTTCCATAAGCAGCTGGTTTGTAACTAACTCCCACGAACAAAACACCTTCAGAGCTAAAGGGGCATATGGAGTAGTGGGACTCACTTCAGCTTCAGTTCCCTGGTGAGCTCGTTCTGGGTCTGTTCCAGTTCCTGTCGCTCTTTAATGTGCTCTTCCTGGAGATCATGAATCTCTGCCTTCACGGCCTGCAGCTTGGAAAATAGCTGGAAGAAATGAGAAGAACATGAGTAAGGACTGTTTCATGCTATTCTCACCCTAGCAGTCAGGTTCTTTGACTTTCTGACCCATCTGATGTGGTGACATTGTCTTTTTACCTTCTTGAGTTTCTTAGTTTTGATGTCCACCTCTTGCTGCAGGGAACTATAGGTCTCCTTTAGCTCCAGTGTCTCCTCATCCCGACTTTCCATCTGTTGCTGGATTTCTCTCTCCCGGCGTTTCTAAGAAATACCACAAATAAGGATGAAGCCATACTTAGATTACTGCCTTCAGTGCCCCAGTAAGTGAAATCAACTGCCAAGATGTGTCCCTTTTACCCGAGATCCAGAAGTCTTGATTTTGCTTCTGGTACTTTTTTAGTTTTGATGGATTTCACTACAGAGGGGCTCTCCTGCTCCACTTAAAAGAGGAGGAACGTTGACTCTTTAACAAGGACATCCTTTCTCCAAAATTGTAAGTCCTTGCAGTTTAATGTGTGTCAACAGAAACACATGACAGAACACAATGTTCTGAACAGTCTGACTAACACCCCCCCACTTCCACTTTCGCCCTCTTCAGTCTTATAGGATTGTTTTGTGAGTTCTCCAACAGCACAGAAATTTGTAACCAAGACAGGACCTGGGCCAATTACGTAACAAAATAAGACATTACAAAGCCTCCTTATATGTATACACATCATAAAACAGAAAAAAAAGGGAACAAGCCTTTTTTTCCTCCTTTGAAGCCCCCATTAAAGAAGCACTCAGGATCAATCCTTAAACTCAGGAAGACTAGTTTATGGCTTTTCCTTCCTTCGTATTTTGTGAAAGATCTGTACAGGTAGCTCCTTACTACAAAATAAGAAACATGTTCCTCCTCCTACCTGTTCTGCAATTTCCTGCCGTTTCTGCTCCAGGATTTTCTGCTGTTCATTTGTGTGATCCACAATATTTTTCCCTCCAACAAGGAGTTTGCTTTCCATTGCCTGAGAGAAAAACCATAACCGGCAGTGAACCTCTCAAAGAGCTGTCTAATTACTCCTTTCTAAAACACAGTGTCGTCTTCTTGTGTAGATACTGCTTCTTTATAATACTTGCTCCTTATTTAGCAATTAGATTTAAACCAACTGTTATGGACATCATTATTTTTGATACAACCTACAATATTATAAAAGTTTAATGCACTAGAAACCTGTCTTGTGTTATGTACTGTTATAATCTGTTGCACATTGGGTATGACACATGAAGATGCAGCTAAATTTTTAATGATCACTTTCAGAGCAAAGCCTGTTTTTATTGGCTGTAACTCGTAAAAAGCACATCCATCACAAATCTATTGCGCTCACTGCCCCACATCCTACAAAGATAGCTCAAAAGTGACAACCCCCCCACAACCTTACACATTCTAAACTAAATTATTAAAAAGTGTATCTCTCTACATCCAGTTTATTTTAAAAATTTCAGATCTAGGCACATCCATTACCAGGACACTAAAACTCTTTCCTGGGAAAGA